TCTATCTATCTATCTACCATGATTGAGGTGAACTCCTTTGGGTGAACTCATTTACATGCAGTGCATTGCTAAGTGACTTACGTGTTGCCTGGTCCACAGGCAGTGGGGCAGGTGCTGGGTGTGCAGAACTCTGACAGAGCGCTTGAGAACAGGTTTATGTGCTTGAAAAATGCCACAGCTGAAAGAAATCAATGAGACAGACGTTGCATCTTGCACATATTGCTGTTCATTGTTTTTGCAGTATGTGGGAGAGGGGAAGGGAGGAAAAAAAAAAGGGGGGGGTAACAAACAAAAATCTGTTAATACTTACTGTTGCTGGCGAGCCACTCTGCCTTGTCGACGCCAGGCGGCAGCGCTGTGAGGGCAAACATGTCGGTGTGTGTGATCCGCTGGCACACATACTGCTGCTGCAGATACGGACGCTCTTCCTGATTATTGTTATTAATTCCCCTTGGGAAGACAGCGCAGAGTTAATGAAGCAGACAACAGAAAGAGAAAGCCTGGGAGACAGAAAATATCGCTGTCTAAAACAACCGATAGGTCAGCGGATTAATTACCCCTGCTGCAGTCAGTCGATAACACGTTTTACACGCTCTCATCTGTCTTGCCCTCTGCGGCTGGCACACCACGCATGCAAACATACGAGCACTGCTGTAACTGCAGACCTGAACATCCCATACAGCAGCAGTTAATGTAATGAAGGCAGTCAATTCAGAGCCAGAGTGATTACTGTTAATGAAGCCGACTGCTGCAGTGGTCAGTGCTACAAAGCAAATAAGCGAAAGGAGTAATGTTGTGGAAGATAATGCGGAGTTGAGTGCTGAGGCCTGCTGGCTTTAGAGAAACCTGTCTTTCCCTCATCAGTTCACATGTCTACTGATAAGCTGCAGGTAGAGCTTACTAATCAGCGAAAAGGGAACTAGTGACAGCTTTAGAGAGCGAGCGCAGGGAGTGAATGATGTGTACTGGAAAGTCAAACTTAGCAGCTCGATTTGACTCTATTCAAAGCACGTAGGTGAGGTATTCTGCTGCGATGAGGAAGAGCGCTCTGCTCTGTTTGATAGAAAGAGACAAAAAGACAGTGCTTTGGATTAAAGAGAATATTTAAGTGTAGCGGATCAGGCAGCTGCCACGCTCAGTTTTTAGATGTCTTCACACGCACAGCAGCTGAGGGTTTACTCAGCGTGACCTTGGCTTCTGCGATAAGGAAAACACAGCGCTCTCTATGGGGCTTCACTCCCCCTGGTGTAAATGTGTGTGAGAGGGCTGGGCAGGGAGAATTTGTTTAGTGGTTTAAACAGGAGGTCTTTGTCCAAAGTAAAGGTCGGAATGGACAGACAGGGTGGGACAGTGACAGAAAAGAATGTAAACATTGCAAAGGTACAGTAAAGCAAATCCATGCCAAGCCACGACAAACTTTTCCAGTGTCCACAGGAACTTGTGCTGCTAACATCCTGTCCTGCTCCAGCTCCGTGGTATTAACTCAATTACTGCCTCTTGGCTACCAGTTGTCGGCACACAAACACAATGAACCCGGAGCTACTTGTGATGTTGTGTTTGTGTGTAAACACGCTCCTCTGTGACCCTGCTCTCCTGCTCTTGGCCATCTGTCCACCTTTACCTCAGCCGTGAGCATGAAATAAACAGCCCTCCTCAGCGCAGCCAGCTGGCTGTAAAAAGATTCATCCCAGAGCAAACATTTGCATAGTAACTGAGCTAAAGCACATTCTCCCAGTGCCTCTCCTTGTATTGGTTCAAATTACTTCTCAACATGTGTTCCCGCTGTTAGAGGAATCCACCTTCACTGATGCCATCAGACAAATATGTAACACACACTCTTATCTAGAGAACATTCCTCTGTAAACCATGTGCAGCCAGATTTGTAGTCATGTTTCTTCCAGGCCATTAAAGGACATAACTGCATCTGCTTTTGACATTTGTTCTTTCTAAATACAGCGGTATGTAAAGGGCGACTGCATGAATGCATTCCCAGATAGAAAAGAAAGAAGAGATCCAACTTACAGTTTGTCACTGCTGATGTCAGAAGGCTGAAGAGTCTTCCCGTCTGCCTCCGTAGCCGAGGGGTAACTATGGCAACCCCCCATGGCATAAAGCTAAGAGCAGAGCTGTTGGTCTTGCCAGCTCCACTTTTCCATCCCAAACACACTAACCCACACACTTCTACACACTACGGGCAACATATGGCAACAACCGCTCCAACATTCACATCCATACGGCCGACAAACACACAAAAAAAGTTTCACGAAATACAGCAAAAGTAGTCCAGGAGTTGGGGGGGATTGTCTCCTTCGCTCTAAAGTGAAGCTTTCCAGCCGTCTCTCCTCTCCTTTTGCTCCAGTGATCCAGTGTCAGTGTGTTTATGTCTCCTTTGTCTGGAGTCCCCACACCCCACAGGCTCCTCCTCTCTCAGCTCCAAGCAGACAGGCAGGTTTCTCCACAACCCATTAAAGTACAAAACACGCCTTCTTCCCCTTTCTGCGAATACGTGCTCTCTTCTACATGTGTGCTCTTCTCTGCACAGTGAGCAGGCAGGTGACAAAGTTAAAGGTGGTTTTGCAGTATGGAAGTTGATAAAGATAAAAAAAGAAGGAGGGAGGGAGGCAGCGGAGAGATGAGTAGTGAAGAGGCTGGAGCAGCAGGTGTGTTCAGTATCTGTGCCCGAGCTATAGAGGAATGCAATGACACCCATCGAAGCCAAGGAATGAAACCACACACCCACAAATGAAAGAGCAATGATATAGAATATGAGAAGTGTACCAGCACAAAAGAAAGGTCTTCAGGTCCTCTCCTCCACTGTTGCGTGAACTCATTTCACCTCTGCCTGCAGCAAAGTAAGATCTATGTGCAGGCAGGTTTATGATTGCAGAGGGGGGGAGATAGTGTGGGGATGTAGCATTGATCGCGAGTGCAGCTCACAATGTGTAGGAGACATCCAAGTACGGACCAGGAAGCAACATAATCCACTTGTTCACCTGCCCCTAAGGTAAACATACTCCAAAGAGCGAGTCCTGTTCCCGCTCGCTCTGTGTTTGTACTGTATGTGTGTTTAACAGCAGGCTGTAAGTGTGAGACAAACAGAGGCTCATGTTTGTTCTCTGACATATTTATTAGGTTCATATCTGAATGTACAAGCTAAATTGACAACAGGTAACAGACACATTACTCTCTAAATGAAAAAAAAATAAAATAACAAAACAAAAAAAAAACACCAGCATCAGTCCGCTTCACATAAACAAAAAAAAAAAAAAAGGCATTTAACAACAACGGCTGCCTTTCCCAGCACTCCCCCCACACCGCACATCCGCACACACGTACCCAAATATGATGATAAGCTGTTTCGTGGGAAAAACGTTCAACTTTGAAATGGCCTCAGTGTAAGTAACAAGCAATGGGTAAGTAACAACTTAACACCCATCGTTTCTCCATTGAAGTTTTGGGCACAATACAGCACATACCCAATGAGGTGAATGAGGCTAATGTGCAAACTTAATGGCACTTAAAAATGACCGTATCGTACCTCATGCCATTATGCATAACATCGCAACGTACCCGTAGCTCAACTGCACACGATCCCAAAGTGAAGAAGACACACGCGCGCCCACGCACAAGTCAAAACGCGATGGTAAGGGTCAGATGCAGTGCTTAGGTTTGGCGACGGAGGGGATGAAATATTCTGACCCTGTACACAACCCTGACAAAAAAAACAGCCCTATTTTTCTCTTCTGTCCCTGACATGAAGCAATGCTAACTCTCTGTGCAGTTCCACTTCAAACAGCTCAAAGCCCTGAACAGATAAAAGCAAAAACGAAAAAGAAAAAAAGGCTGTGATCTAAGATGAATCTTCAAAGTCTTTCTTTGACTTGTGTCATCCCCTCCTGCTGCTGATAACTCTATCACATGACGTAAAAAAAAAAAAAAGAAACGATAGAGGGATCAAACAAAGACTGCTTTAGATAAATCTAGACCTGTAAGACCACTGCAAGAAAGGGAGGCTACTTCACAGATATGGAACCCAGTTGTACACTGGTGGGAAGACACACTTTGGCAGAAAGCATTGAAGAAGAAGAAGTAATCTAGAGTATCTACATGATTCACTCATTCAAGTCAAACATCCCCGCCTCTTTGAGAAGGGAATAATGTGGTGGCACTTAGCGCCACCGAATACAAATCAAAAGTGCTTCTTGGAAAAAGTGCTTTCAAAATAAATACAACAATCTATGTAAATCATTCCGTAGGCATATACTGTATGCAATTAAAGTCAACTCCTGCCCTGAGAAAGAGAGAGACGAGGAGAAAGATAAAGTAAAGCATGACTGTCTAGCACACGCAAACTTAAAGGATAATTCTGGTCTATTACAACTTGGCTCGTTTCTGTTGGATATGATTAGATTGTATTAAACATGTTAATTGCTAATAACATGAAGGCTGATGACAATTCAAGAGAGACGAGGGGCTGGACCCCAAATGAGTGTTGATAGTGGGGCTGCAGCTAAAGCTGATTTCCATCATTGACTCAAATGTGCAGTTTTTTGACCTCTGGTAGCACTTACGGAGCTGTTTTTTTATGAGTTCATTCGTCTTGCATCCACATTGGAGCACGTGTGCAAGAATGTGAGTGATGCGATACATAATAACGCCAGCAGTCGCACACATTCGGCGAATCAACAAAGTTTTATTAGGACAGAAAGAATTCAGCGCATGTGTGAGAGCTGCAGGATACAAACACTGCGTCTGGTTGTGTAACGCTGGGTGTAAACATCTTTTTTGTTTGTTTACAAGAAAACTCTCCTGTGAACTTTTTTTTTTCTTTTTTTTCGATGAACAGATTTGCTGTTTAATCTATGAACTGTCAGGAGACAGTAAAAAAAAAAAAAGCCCTTCACAATTTGTTAAAACCTAACATGATGCTATAAAACAGCTGCAGTCCAAAACTCAAGGACTTAAAGCTGGAAATTCTCAGCTAGAACAAAGATATGTGTGGTAGTTTTTGCTTGAAAAATTACCTTAACAATTGACTGATTAGAAAAAAAAAGTTACCTAATAGGTTTCTGTTGATAGACGACTGTAATATTTGACAGATTTGTTCAGCTCAGTGACATTAATCCCTCATTACACACATTACACAAGTATGTATGCACAAATAAAACGATAAAAGCATAAAATTAAACATATCGTCTCTGATGGTGATGTTTTTTTTTAATGATTACTGTTACTTCCCCTTATACCCATATTTGGCTTGATAAACTATTAATTAATTAAAATATTATTTTTTTAAAGTGATAAATGGAAACGACGCCCAAGTTGTAATAAACGAGCCTTTAAGTAAACATTACGGAAGACATACCGCAGACAACCGACTCACATTCACAACATGCGCACTCCTAAACCTCCATGAAGGAAGCATGTAAGCAAAGGAACAGGAACTGATGCTGGCCTTTTAACCGAAACAAAGACATCATTATTGCCTCATTTCAACAGTACAACACACATACGATACACACGTTGCAACCTGCGAAACAACCGCCTTCCCATACATTGGATTTATTCCAAAAATAGATATAATGTTTATATATACTGTTTACATTTATATTACGTTTACATATTACCAAGAATAGCCACAACCTAATACAGGTTCAAATTTCACAATATTACATTTAAACAGCTCTGAGGGTGGTATGAACTGGTATGTGCACATCACTGTCGTTTTTTTTTTGTTTTGTTTTTTTTTTGCATGTGTTTGTAGATATGGTTTGTGTATACATGTGTGTATGCGACTGTGTGTGTGTGCGCGTGTGCGTTACACAGGTGTGCTTTCTTTGCCTCTGCATACTTCGTCTATGACCTGAGAATACACTCTGTACCTCAGACAGAGCTCAAACACACACACACACACGTTGATGTACACATGTCTACACACATGGATACAACAGCACACACACCTCTAAACTACATGAATCTGTCGGAGGAGGAAGTGTGACACATCGTCCCCCCCAAATCCGATGCTCCGATTTAACAAGAGAGCATTTATATCCCACATGATCAAAGCAAATAAATTTATACTTGATTGAGAAATGATCTATATAGGATGTACGGGGGGAGGAGGAGGAAAGCCAAATTATTGTCACTCACACATTTGCACGAGTAAGATGTCTGCCTGGCACATACACTGAAATGCTAAAGACAAAATGGTGGCTAGCTAGCTTTGCAAGCATCTTGGCTTTTGTAATCTTGGCTGATTATTTGAATACAGTTTTTCATTACTAAAGTGTAAACAGTCAAATGCTCTGCTAGAAAAAACTCACTGGGCTGTGATTTCGAGCCCAGAGTGCAGACGGGCTCGAACGATCGGAAATTCTGGTGCTGAATTTAACAAAAGTTTCAAATTTTCGACTTCAGTGTTTTCTTAAGATTAAAGTGCAGCTGGCACTATGTGTCACCTCTGCTTGTCACAACACTAAAGGGTGCCTACTTTTCCCAAGTTTAATGGGAAAAAAAATCCACATGTAACACAATTGGGCTTTTGGGTGTCTGACACAGTCAAATGTTCTATAAAACACACATTTCTCTTTGAAGCGTTGTAATTATGTCATGAAGGCGCTGTAGAGACATCAGGACTACCCATGTGTAGCTGTCTGACGTCCAACATAAATACTGTTTGACCTCAGTGCTAAGGATCTTCCACTCACTTACATGTCTTCAGACACAACAAAATTGGCATTGGAGGGCTGCTAACAGGAAGCAAAGGTGGCATGGCTGTGTGTTGTATGAACAGGTATGAAGTGTGTGCCTGTACTGCACCGTTAGGCCGGTCCATTAGCGGATGACTGCGTCTCTCTGGAAGGTAAAAATATAGAGAGACAGAAATTCAGACATTTTTGGTCACTCACTGAGACCTCATCTGATCAACCAAATCCAAAAGAGGTGAAATGAATTTGCTTTACAACACCCAAAGCACCAAAACGTTTGTCAGCTAAGTTTCAATACCCCTCAGTATTCCTAATCAGATACATTTGGCTTGATGAAGCAGAAAAACAGAGGTAATAACATTAACAATTCCACTTTAGGTATAACAGTAAGCTACACAGGCAAGCTTCAATGCAAAGAACAAGGCTCCGACACACCTAAATGGAATGCAGCCAATTCTATAATAACAGGTTACACCTGTGTTTGGGAGGTCAGAAATGTCTGTAGGTTTAATGATGTTTTGCCTGATGATTCTTACTGACACAATTAGGGTTGGTCCGAACAGCAACTTCTGTTCTCTGGATGTTCGGCCCCAATTAATGACGAATGTCACAAATATTTGGGGGTGCTGCGCGGTGGTGAAAAAAATTGATATCCCGATTCGAGCACAGCGAACGAATAGTCAGCTATTCGGCTATTCGGGTCCAGCCCTAGACACAAGTGCAGTGTTTCGCATGTAAGAGCCGAACCATGATCAGTCAGTCTGTTCAAATATCCAGCAAACGTTCATCATAAATGCAGTTTTTCACCTCTTAGTTCGTAATTTATGCTTATTTGTCCAGGTTTGTTGTGTACGCCAGCAGCTGAGAGCGCTCACACGGTGTTAACTAAATTATACTGAACGTGGGTTAATGATTAAAGCAACCATTAACCAGCAGACTGTTTAGCTGCAGTTGTGTTTACAAAATCTGTTGGAAATGGTCAGAGCATCGTGTGAACTGTCACTGAGAAAGTTGGAATTCCAGAGCACAAAGGATTTTGTGATTTGGGTGCTGCAGACAAACTCTGTTCAGCCTTCCTCTAACTGAATATTGGTGTTGGCAGGGGTAGAAGTATTAAAACATACAACTATTAATACAGTACAGAAAAAATAATGTCAAAAAAAGAGTCCTTCGTTGCTTTTTTTAACTTTAACATTAACTAACAATTTCCCTGAGGTTTTACACCGAAGGGATCAATAAAGTTTTATTCTATTCTATTCTTCTATTCTGAAGTGAAGTGAAGAATGGAAGGGAGGAAACTTAACTAAGAGAGAAAATAAATAAAGACTGTCAATTCAGTTCTTTATTATTATTTATTTATTTTTTAACTAAATCATAAAAAGAACCAGAGAGTACAGTTAAAATACCAGATGAATAAACAGCTTCAACTGGAGCAGTAATACTGTTAAAAGCCTGACATTACCCATCCTATACTCGTCCAGGGGATGGGTAACGTCTCTATTCGGCTGTATACAAAACATACAAACACACACACTTACTGTGTGGCAGCAGTCGACTGGTTAGTTGGACTGGCGGTAATTGGGTTGGAACAGTTTCCATGTTTCTTTCCTTTTTCACTTTCTTTATCGTTGCCTTTCCCTTTGTCTTTGATGGACAGTCCTTCTACTGGCACCTTATCGGCTTCGCTGGGAAAAAAAAATAAGAAAGAAGCTGTAACAAACTAGAAAAACAGCCAGGAGACTGTCAACTGGATTCATACTGTCAAGAATAAAATGTAGATACTAGATTCTGCTGTTGGCTAAATCTCCCCAAAGTGATCTGATCTGGGCTCAGTCCACCTGGTCTTTACTATGGCTGGTGCTTACAGCAACCTGTGCATCCACTGCTCCGTTTCTCCCAGCACACAGAGGACTGTAACTGAAAAAATCCTTTTGTGCTAAGGTTCTCGAGTTCAGAATAGGACCTACTGAACCGTAGCATGCATGTTGGTGCACTGTTAGTAACTTGCTCATGTACTGGTTTGTTAGAATGTTGATATGTTGGACTGGTAGCAACCTTTGTTTATAGCATGCTATCTGACAGACTGTTAGTGGTGGGGGTGCTCTGAATGGAAAGAAATCATGTTGACTTGGCTCGTATCAATGTTATGACTGAGAAGGGAGTTATCTGTCACATAACCAGGCAGTGATCGTACACTGCTGTATGTCTGGTGTAACTGAATTAGTAAGGTAACAAATATTTCTGTCACTGGTGTTTGGTAATTAAAGAACGTGTTGAGAACATTGGCTAAACCTCACACAAGGACATACATGTCCTCTACACTAGTTGTGGGTTAGTGCATTGTTTTCATGAATTAGGACTGGCCTAAATGAAAGGGATTATTACTCCACTTCCTGTTAAATGCAACAAGCAAACAAAAACGTGTTTTGAAATCCTTCATACAACTTCAGGAAAAGCATTCCACACTTCAGAGCACAGGACCTCAAGCACAACATACCGTCTGACTGCAGGTCTGAATACTCTGGAGTCAAGGGGAGATGAGAAAGGAAGGAACAGACAGGATGAGGATGATATCAGAAGAAAAACAGAGAAGGGGGGGGGGGTACAACTGTACAGGAAATAGTTTGGAGGGGGGGAAAAGGGAAAGGAGGACTCAGAAAAGCATGTGAAACTACAATAGTTTCACACTGCACCAGACAGAGCGGCTACTCAGTATTTGTGTGTGAGACTGTGTACCTGGTGAAAACCGCCCTCTCATTTTTGGCGTCCACTGTGAGCCGGATGGTCTCCTTGCCAGCACCTGTGGTGATGGTCTCTGTGGTGACCGTCTCACTGGATGTGGAGTCTGTCTTGCCTTCTTCCTCCTCGCTGTCTGAGCTGCTGGAGGAAGAGCTGTCTGATGCCACCAGTGGAGCTTTTCTTGCCACGCACACACTCCACACACAGGCTGGGGAGAGCGAGGGGGAAGAAATACTACATTGATGCATGGTCATTGCATGAGTAAGCATTTCAGCTTCAGTGGCTCTATGTGCCTTACCGGTACATTACTTGGTGTTTTTCTCAGTCAAGGTCTGCCAACTAAAAGGCCCCAGGTTTTAATCCTAAGCTATTTTTTTCCAAAACTGTCAACATTTATCACAAATGATTTGTTATTACTTTTTAATCAACCCTCTGAACCCTAAACCCCATTGGCAGGTTTGAAAGGCATGTCATCACTACAAAATTACACCATCAGAGCTAGAAACTGTAAAAATAGGAAGAATTGCCGGATATTGAACTTCACGACGGTCCTTGAAATACTCATCTGTTCAGTCAGAAAATCAAATCTACACTTAAATCATGATATTTTGTTAAGATTAATGTATCCTACATGTCTCACAACAGACGGTGTTTACACAGGACAGAGAGGAGGTAAGTATAGAAATAAATTAAAAAGTAAGTAGTAAAATATCTATGGTAAGTGAAGCCACCAGTTTTCCCCACTATTGGTAACAACTGTGGGCACTTAGAAGAATAGTGTACATGCTGATTCCAGGCATTTTCAATCATTGTAAAATAAGTAATTAAGACATTCTACTGCAGTTTGTCATTTTCATAATTTACGACATTATAACTTTGTTATACTGCACAGAAGACATTGTTGAGTTCTTTATACTTCTATCTATAGTTGTAGAACTTTTTATTGTAGTGACAAATAAGCCCACAATGAGTGATTTTTTTTTTAACATGCACCCTTTCCATCAATGTTCCATCAATTCACGTGGACCATGACATATAGAGTTAAACAGTTGGTGCACATCAGTAGTGAAGACTGGTGGCTTTTACTGACTTGTCTCCAATTTGATCATTTTCTTCAGTTTTAGCTTGGATACTACTAAACATTTACATTTTATATTATTAGTCAAACAGCCACACTGCAGCAACTTACGGTTCTGGTTTGGTTTGGTGTTGTCTGATCCACTGAGCTCCGAGTCCACGGGAGAGCTGCATCTGGGGCCTGTTTCAGAGCTGGTGGACATAAACCCCACAGATTCAAAAAACCACAGAAAATTCCGTAATTGCCTCAATGTGTCGTTTTGTAACTACTGAAAGGGTGCTGCAAATGATGATTAGCATACAGTACCCAATGTCTAAATAAGCTCCTCATAGTTTGACAACACAAACTCACCAACAGAAAGGCTGAAAGTCGGTGAACTTGGCCCATCCCTTCTCCTCTGCCTCTGTTGCAGCTGGCTGAGAGACTGGAGAGTCCCAAGCTGCAAAGCCAACTCCTGCTGCAGGAGCCTTTGAGTTCACCTCTCCAAAGTCTGCTACCCAGTCAGTACCTGAGAACAAAATGCATCAGGCACACTCTACATGAGACACTTGCTCAAAACCTGCTTTAGTCCTAAAGTATGTGTACAGAAAAACATCTATACATAACTAAACAACATAACATGTCTCACTCTTAGTTGTTTCAGTCTGCTCCTGACTTGAGAAAGGATCCAGGTCGTCTTTAGGGTCTTCTCCTTCCTCAGAGTCTGAGTCTGCTGCTCTGTCAGAGACGTCAGTGCCAGAAGCTCCTGTCATTTCACAAGTCTTACTGGCTGCTTGGCCTTGGGAGGATCGTGACCCACCAAACCTTGAAACAAATAAAATAATTGAATGTCTGACTGAACAAAATTATGAAAGTGTATTCATAACGTTGAGAGCATCTTTATTTAGGGGCATGTGTCTACCTGTTCCGAGACTTGGTTTGTGTTGCATAGTTGATCTCTTTTTCCTCCCAGATGTCCTCTTCATCATCATCAAAGGGCTGAATCCTCTCCTTGGAACAAGCCTCAAACACAGCTGTGTTGGCCTGCAATAAACAGGTGGGTAATTTAAATATGGTCTCAGCAGCTCTCTTTGCTCCCTATGTCAACCACTTGTCAAGTTGACTTGATTTTATGCCCCCTTGTGGCTAAAAAAACATCAATGCATCTTTTTTAAAAATCACATTTACACTCTAAAGAAATGCAGAAATAAAACTTCATACAGATCTGTACAAAACTACATCAACTCACACTGTCCTGGCCTGCATCAATGTTGATATTGATCTCTGCAATCCGGTCAAACGTTGCCCTGAAATAAGAGAAGGCTTCACTTAGTCAGAACACAGTCAAAAGAATACACTGGCAAAGAGAGAAGAATGTCAGGTAATTTACCCAATGCTGTCATCATGATCAGTAAACTCCTCATCATTAAAGCCAAACTGATCCACAAAGTTCGCCGTCATCTGCTGGATCTGATAGTCTGAAAAGGCCTAAAAAGACATCATCGCTAGAATAGTTAGAATTCAGTAGCTCATAATAAAAGCCCTAAATATTTTGATTGTGTTGGTATGAATGTATACCTGCTGTATTGTCAGCTCTTTAGGGAAGGGGCTCTCCATATCATCCTCAGAGGAAGGACGAGGGTTTCCAGTGCCAATCTGAAACCGGAAACACCAGTTTAAATGAAACCTTTCAAAACTGAATGCATGTACAATTGAAAACAGCTATCTGATACCATAGATGTGCATGTGTGAAGGTTTACCAGGTCTATGGTGTTCTTCCTGTTAGTCTCTGACAGTGTCTGGTCCACAAAGGTTTCCCAGCGCCCTCGGTAGTCCTCTGGCAGCTCTACATCCAAAAACACAAGAGCATAATGTAAGCAATATTCAGTCAACTTGGCAAATAGGAGAATTTCGACTTTTGCTATTGTTTTGTTGCACATAGGAATGAGTGTGCATGCATACCTGTGATGAGGCTACTAATCTGGGTGTGAACTGGGCCTTTCTCCAGGTTGTGAACCACTGTGTTGGCAATCCTGGTCAGATGTCCCATGTACCCTCTTCTCATACCACCTTCTGACCTGAACAGAAAAGTATCACACTTCTGGAAATCCATAGATTTCTGCTCATTACCAATAACACCACCATGTCAAGATCTCAAAGTTCCTTACTGCATTTTATCATTCTCTTCCCAGGCCTCCAGAATCCTCTGGACAAGGTGGCAGTGTTGGAACAACTTAAAAGAGACAAAGATGGAGTCATTCAGTTGCTCGAATTTAAAAAGAGGCGCCACATTGGTCATTTTGGTAGCACAAACAAATGGCACAAGCAGAGACACCTACGTGAGTCACCATTAAGTTGTGTGCAGAGTTCTCAGAGGTGGCTGAAGGTTCAGAGGTCAGAGTCTCCGTCAAATCCTGCTCTTGCGATGCATCCTGTTCAGGCTTGAATTTTTCATGGGAGCCCAAACCAGGCTGTAGTCTCATTTCATGGGCGCAGGGCCGGAGGATGGCAGCAACACAAAGCTCCACTTGGAGGTGCAGGAAATTGTTCCATGTGTACTTGAAGAACAAGTCCTAAAAAGCAGAAGCATTTTCCATTGAGGCATTTTGCAACTGTCACTTTCTCAACACTGTTGTTTGAAATTGTTAAAAACAAATACAGTGTGTTTCACCATCTCACCAGAAGGAGGTCCATTGTATTGAGTCTGCAGAGTTCCTGTGCTACGACTGCGTGGCTAGCAGAGCTGGTATAAAGCAGAGAAGCCACTAGTCTGGCCACGTGCAAACGCGTGTTCCCCAGTGGTTCCTCCAGCACACCCAAAGTAGTCAGCATTGGCTCTCGCTAAAAATGCACAGATAAAGGGCTCAGAGGAATTTGGAGAAACACGGTTTAGTGGTTTTTACCGTACACTAGAGGTGTCTAGGCGGCAGAGAATGAAACATAACTTCAAAAAAAAGGGGGGCTGGTTGGTTGGCAAAAATGAGAACATGCTTTACATTTTTAGCACGTTCTTATTTAACACAAGCTTGTGATTTTAGCTGTGGGACAAACGCTTTCATCATTTTTGATGCTTTTCACATTGCCCACGACTAACACCCTAATGAATTACACTGTGGCATCTCTGACATTTCATTATTTGTACTTATCATGCATTGTAAATTATCTCCTACGGCAACAGTTAAACATAATGAGAACTTTGTTTATGTACCTTGGGTGGCTCCAGTAGTAGCTGGTGAAAGTGTATCAGGTGTGGCTGGATGGCCAGCAAAATACTGCTGTTAACAGTGTAACTTCTCTCAAATCCCTGAGCATCCATTACACCATCCACCCTGTTGTAAACACAGAAAAAAAAAACATGTTTAAAACATTTAGCACATAAAGGAGACACAAGAGTGATGAAACACATTAACCGGAAATCAAATCAAATCAAAAATCAATCAAATGCCATCATTGTCATTGCATGTACACAAACAACATCAAGCTTAGAGAAATAACAGAGGCCTGGGTTCAGATGAAAATGTTATTAGTGATGATTGCAAAGTAAAACTTGATAGAATCCACTGTTTAAAACCGATTTGAAGTCTGTCACTCACACAGGCCTCCTGATTTCCAGTAAAGTGAGAAGAACTTGAATCCCATTCACGATACAGCTCTCAGTCCTCTCTCCTGAGAACATATTCTGCAACAACTGCTCCACACACTCCTGCCTGTAGAAACACAGTGGAATACATCATTGCCTCTGCGTCCTCTAAGGACAATGTGAACACCGGTGTGTGTGCATCTGTCTGACTTACGATTCCAGCACAGTCAGCAAGGGGTCTGGCTGTGACATCTCTTGGAGCTGATTGGCCTGGTCTCTGCTCAAACGTATGATGTCGCACAAAGTTTGAGATGCATTCGACTGCCTCTGTGAGAGAAAGAAAAAAAAAACTTGGATAATCAGTATTTTAAATTTGTCTGAAGTCTGTGAGTGTGAATGAATGTATACGTTAAATCAAAAAAATAGTTATTTATTATCAATATAAAAATCCTGAAAGTCTCTCTGACCTCCTCATCTCTCTCAGGGTGAATGAGCTCTATGAGTCTTTGGGCCAGTTTTTGGTCATTCAGCCACTGTTGAGAAAAACATCACATTATAACTGCACAGAAAATCTGCACAAAAAAACCCACCCCCAATAGATTGTGTAAAACTTTGAATGCATGCCCATTTTTCTCATACAGTAAGAGTCTCGAGTCGAAGAGGGGGTGGCTCCACACAGCTGATAAGGCGTAGGAGCACATCCATCATGGCCGACGTATCAATATGCTTCAGGACCAACGAAAGGAATCCCTCCTTCCGTCGCAGGAAACTAATCACCTTCACAAAGAATAGAGCACAGGAAACACCACTACACAAAATAGAAAACTGAAAATTGGGACAAAGACATGTAACCTTGCTGTCAACTATTATCTCTGGGATTATTTCTTAGACTGAACATATATCATGGGGAGTGAGATACTAGTTCTTGAAACATTTCTGTTTATCTTTTGTATTTGTCAGTGCTTTTGGCTGCGCAACTTGAACTGCATTCACCTGCAACTTTTAGAGGCAGCAGAACAAGGTCAAAAAGTAGATATTTCAAAACCTGTGCAAGTACAAATAATTCAGGACATTCTTCTATTTCTGCAGTTTCTATGCACAGCACAGTCTTCACAGTGCAGTAGTTGTTTAGCTTTAAGGCTGAGACTTTTAAAACTGACATAAACACAAAAAAAACCCAGAGTCAGTCCATTTATTACCAGCAGCTGTATCAGTTGGCTGCCTCTGGTAAGATAGGTGTCCTTTGAGTTGCTTCACTGAAACTCTCAAAGGACCACTTAGCAACTTCACCCCCAACTCAATCTCCACCCTAAGGCCTGCGCACTGAATCCTCACAGACTTAACTGATGTCATAGCTGTAGCGTTTGAGTGTGTGAGTTTGTAAGGGCTCAAAATTGTATAAAAAGCAGAAATGGAACACACTATTGTGACAACACGCGTAGCTTAGAAACAATGCTTTGGCATTTCAAATTTTTTAAAAAGTGAATGTGGACTTGTGGTTTACTCGCAGTTTGATCAGTAGCTCAGTTGATCACTCTGTTTGTGACATTACAGTGTTCACAAATTTTAGCAAAAATATGAAAAATCAGGAAAGCCTTGAACATCTGTGAATCCTATGTGAACGTCTGACTCGAAATATAACCATCTCTACAAATATGCAATAGATTCTCACAACAGTGCGGAGCAAGCTGTTATCACTTACAGATACATGTCTGAGGGAATTCTTTTCTCAGCACCTTCCATGCTTGGTTTGTCAATAAGGACAACCATGTTTATATGTCACCAATCATGCGACAAACTGTGGGCATGCCCCCCAGGAAAGTCTACAGATATGTGCATCTACAGATAGGGTGCATAATAAGTCTGCATCAGAGCCCTCGTGCACTTGATGATTTGACAGAGAGACAACCCTAAGTCCTTGCACACTTAGCAGGAATGTGCCTCAAAGTCTGAGTGTGGAGATTGAGATTAGGACAATAAATCCAAAAAAAAAAAAAGCACTGGACAAAACCAATGGCTTACATAAACAGAGGAAGTAACTTTATGTCTTTATATCACTTGTACCCACACACAAGCATACATTTGTGTGCACCATTCCAAACAAATATCACCACTGCACACAAGAAAACATATTTTTTCTCTGTTTTAAGATGGAAATCTGACAGTGGTGACAGTATCCACAGCAAACAATCAGTGCACCCATTAGTATCTAAATCAATCAGTCTTGGACCCAAATGGTGTTCAAGGTCAGAGGGTCACTAAAGTCATTTCAAACATCCGCTCTGAAACAGTAATATGCATACAGAATGTCAAAGCTTTCATTTTCTAGATCTGTTGCTCTGGACTTGCAAGACAAACAGTCCACCTTATCTTGAAATCACCAGACCCTGTCAGTGAACAGGGCAAAATCTACACCTTGTGCATGTCCTTGTGTGCTGGCACAACTGCCTGTTGGTGTTTCAAGAGAAACAAAACTTTACAGCCATCTCAGGTGAAAGTAATTCTCACAGAGAGCTTTTTCCATTATCTTGCCATAAGCACCCTCAGACTTTGTGAATTAAATCAGAACAACACACAAATGCAGCTGTCATCTTCCCTGAGATTGCCCTTTGATTTAGCAGAGTGAGTGTATGTGTATTACCTGCTCAGTCTTCCGTGTTATGAGGTTCCCAATTGTCTTGCTAAAGAAAGATGCCAGGAGGGGGTTAAGCGGGGATGGCTGCTCCAAGAAGGCATACAGAGTTTCCAGCAGAGGCTCCTCATTACCCAGCTTATCATTGATCACTCCCACATCACATGTCAGCAACTCACATGCTATATTTGGATACCTGTAATAAATGACGAGAACACAACTTGCGTTAAAATGAAGCATAAACAAAATCATTACCTCATTTTCTACTTTTGAGGACATTGTGTTCTAAAGTGAAACTGGAAAAACAACATTTTCCCCTTACAGGACTGTTGCGATATTCACAGGTTGATTGTCGAACGAGCAGTTACGTAGTTTTGCAATTTAAATGCATCATCAGTGGTTTGGTTAGTTAGCTCAAGACCGTTTTTAAAAAATCCAATCTGAGCCCTTTCAAGCTCTAGACTCCACTGCTAAGTGACAGGTAAGAGAAATGTTGAAGTGCAGCACCAGCAAAACACTTTTTTTTTTCCTGGATACAGTATACTACATCAGCATATTTTACACCTACTTGAAGCGCTTGGTCTCCTCTACACCAGCAGGGGGCTCTGTAGTGATCATACGAACCAGATCCTGCATGCACTGGTCCTGGCACAAGAACAGGAGAAGTCTACAAAATCCATGATGAAGAGGAAAAGAAGCACCAGTTAGCAGAAGCAAAAGTGGCCAAATACTGACATGTAATGATGATTTTAGTCTGCTGCTGAGGACGTGCTAAAGAAAAACCAACACACAAACCTCCTGTTTTGGGCCTTGCACTCCTGGAGCACATCTTCCTCATCCATGAGCTCGGGAAGCGTGACATCCTCCTTGTCCAGTAAAGCCTCCAGATGCGAAGATGTGTGTAAATCAAACTTCCAAAACATGGCTGCGTCACCTTAACATACACTTAGCTGCTGACCTAAAGAGGATGTGGCACAGAGATCAGTATCATGCCTGTGCAGCATGCTTGTACAAGTTACTGAATGACATAAATGTTTAACTGTGTGCTGCATCAGTCCTTTCTAGATACCATACACAGCACTGCCTGCATGGATGGATGCTCTTACGTTCAGACAAGGAGTAGTATCCTCAGTCGGCTCTTGCTAAACACCCATTTGGTTTATAGATCCTGCATGGCCTGGACATCAGCGAGCAACAGCAGATTCACACAGTCAAGACACATACACACCCACTTTACTCATACTAACACCACACACACACAAACCCTGGAGAGACTGCTTTCAACCTGGTAATGAGAAGACAAGAAACAACAAATGTTACAAAATCATCTCTGGACACATTTGCTCTGCCTTCTTCAGAGCCAAGAAGAGGAGTTAAACACAGGCTAAGTGCAGAGACTAGGCTGGAAAGAGGAGGAAGCAATGCATCTGTAATTGTGTTAGCGCTGCACATCTGTTGCTGTTGACATCACCCAGCTTGTTTTGAAGATGGCCCCACACACACAGCTACATCAGCAAATAAGGACTGGAGATAAGATTGATGTTGAGCAAGAAAAATAAAATAGAATCTGTCATCAAAAGAGATGTCACTTTAAGTAATGATACGACTACTTACTTACATTTGTATGACTACAAACTAGATAAGATGATTGATGACAGCTGGAGGACAGATTTAAGGCAGAGATCTTCACCTTACATCCTTCTCAAGCAAATCAGTACACAGAAACAGTGAAGGATCCATCTTAATGAAACCAGCCAAGGTCTCAGTATATAATCTACTTGAGTCCCATGGCTGATCCAACATGCTTGTAAAACAAAGTCAGCAGTCTGAAGAAGGTAATGTATCGTTTTACAGTCTAAAATGAGGCTGGGACATAACTTGCTCAATAGAAAACACCATTAAAATTGATTGCATAATAATAACGATCCCTAAGTGCGCTGCCCGAGTGTACACATCCCTTGAGCAAACATGTTGATCGTAAACAGGTGTTTGCAGGGATCTGACTTTAGGAAATTCATCATTTTACCATAGGGGTTTACTCATTTTCAAATTAAATACAAGTGCACAACCATGGGCAGCTTTAACACAGGCCTGTCAGGCGTCCTGAGATCAGCTGGAAACGATTACTGTTAGCTATTAGCGTACATTAGTTAAGACAGCTTAACGGCCATATTAGTGTGAATTAATGCTAGTTAGCTCGTCCATACAGTAACTTCACGTTAACTTATCTCGTTTTTATTTTTGTCAGCGCGTCTCCGGCGCTAAACGATGGTGCCTTTCACTTACCCTGCATACAAAGATGGTAAAGCAGCCCGTTAGCAAGACGCTTCACTCCCGCTGCTAACGTTATCAAAACTATTTAAACACGGTACCGGAGAGCGACGACGGTTAGATGGAAAGCTAAGATAGGTCAGTTATTTATGAGCTGCGGTGCTAAGTGCTGGGACAACGTCCTCCTGGTTCACACCGAGCGCTAACTTCCGACCACTTGACAGCGAGGCTCGGGCTTCACGCTACGTTTACTCATATTTCATCCTCTCTCCCAAGACGAGCGACCGTTACCTTTGCTCCATCGCTTCAACGCTCGTCGTCCGCAAAGCTGAACCGCAACTCGGCGACTTTGGCTGTCAGGTCACCCGGAGGCCCATAGCAGCCCGTTCAGGACTGCGTTGTTAGCTTAACGGTGCTACCCTTTCCCCGGTTGCAATGTCATTTACGCTGCCGTTACAGCGGCGACTGGCCCTGGCCGAGGGGGGCTGTGTTGACACGCTGCAAATTATTATTCAGCAGTCGGGCAGCAGCAGCAGCAACAACAACAACAACAAAAAATATATCTGTCAGATTGGGAAATCAAAATGGCGACTACCTAAAACGTAATCAAAAGTTCGGCTGTCCATCAACTGTGTAAACAGAGCTCCGTTTTTTTTTTTTATTTGCTGTCACCCTGAAAAACTGCTGTCAGGATACTGCAGCAGCATTTAGCATTCACATCCATACCTCCCAGGAACATTTATTCTACATAAAAGTAAATAAACGCCAGCTTGGAGTTTCAAACTGTGGCAGAGAATGCAATAAGAAGATTTAAGACAAATGCACAATTGAAATGAATTAGTCTAAGTAGTGTAGGGACTGTCCATATCTTTCTGTCTGTAGAGTTTTTGCTGAAAAGCCCAGTTACCCCGCATATTGAATATTATTATATCATTATAACCCACTGCAGCACCTGTGCATGATTTTCTCACTGTGTCGGGTTACAGGTATGCAAATACCACCTGTCAACACAAACAAGATGGAGTGATGATAACCTTGTCAGGCAAAACTCAAAACAAAGTCAAGTCTCTGTAGGCTGGCTGTGAAAAAAAATATTTCAACAATTTACTTTAACAAAATGCACTTGAGGTATCAAAGGTTAAAGTTCTCACAATGATCAGTGCCCCCTTATGTTGTTATGTCATTATTATGGATGTGATAATTATTAATGCTGATGCTGTTTTCAAAATTTCCCCATTTTTATTTGTAGGTTTTGCCCTCTAAATAGAAACTAGCCCCAAAGTAATAAGCAGAAAAGATGATCTTTATGATGTACAACGTTCAAGTGGGCTTTAAACAATAATACAAACAAACAAACAAAAGCCTCTTCTTTTTTTTTAGGGAAAAGCTTTATTGATGTCAAAAACATGGTCCCCAGGGTGCCTTTTTAGATTAAGCCCAGAAAATGTAATTCCTATAAAAACTACAGGATTTGAAGATACAATGAAAGGAAAAGGACCCACAGAGGAACTTCACACGATGCGCCTACTTTAAAGACACTCCCTAACCTCTTCTCTCCCTAAATGCAATGTCTGGTTGTCAGTGAACAAAATTATTATTAATAAATGTTTAAAGTGGATATTATTCTGTATTTCACTGGGGAAGTCTAAAAGTTAGCCTTAACTCGAAAATTTGAGCCTTACATAGTCACCATGTAATCTTTTGAGTCATTATACATTCACAACGTATATTAATTGGAAAATGTTGAGTTAAATGTAACGTTGTGTTTCATAGTTATTTTTTTTATTTTTTATTTTTTTTATGGCAAACTATACGTAAATAAATAAGCAGTGCAACTGTTTTGGGGAATAATATGGTTGCCGTCTGTTAGTGAGTGGGTGTCTGCAGTATCTGGCAAAGACACGGACAGTCCCAGCCGGTGAGTCTTGCGTCGGCTCGTCGCTCAGCTGAACCTCCGCAGAAGGTCTTTCTGTGGTAGCCGGTTAGCATCATGGCGAACGTTGCGGATACTAAGCTATACGACATCCTCGGAGTTTCACCGTCCGCCTCTGAAAATGAACTGAAAAAGGTACGTGTCCGTTGAAACGGAAAGGGAATTTGTTAGTGTTAAAACAGAATATAACGAGGAAGGGAGGTCACCTGTGTAATGTGGCCTAGAAACAAGCTAATGGACGTGAGCTAGCTCCGTTTACTGAACGCTAGCTTAAGATGTACATCAGCTACTCTAGCGAGCTTTGCTAGCCTAGCCAGTAGAACGAGCGAGACAACTGTGCTGTACTTTATCGCACTGCGTCTTTAGAAAAGATAATACAAGCTATACGTTGGTGGCGGCGAATTGCTGATAACGTTTGTTATTTTTGTTGTTCGTACACACATTATAAGGTTGGAGTTGGCCTGTCCGAAAACCAAGAAATACATTGATGACCACGAGTGTGATTAGCTTGCCGGCTACTAACGCTAGATGATACATTCCAGCAAATAGTCTCCACCGATTTAGCAACGAAACAAGCTAAATGTGTGACTTCGCTAATGATAGGCACTTAGTAATGTCGTCTTTGTGTTTAACAGCGTCAGTGTAACATTAAATAATGATGAACATGCGATGAAAACAGTATTTGCGTTAACGCCGAAGGTAAAGTTGTGTGGGGGTTATAAGCTAATGTTAATGTCACTCTTCGTGTAGCTGTAGTAAAAAACATTCGCATATAGTGTACCTTAAAGTCTATTCAAACATCAGGCAATTGCAGATTTGTTTATAATCGACAGCACTGCCTCCCCTGCAAAAGATGACTTGAGACCATTTAATGTTTGTGACTGCTTGTGTACTCGTCTTCATATTCTGTACATTAAACCGACCAAATAGATAAAATTATCGCCAACCGTTACAACAGCGCTTTTAAACAAACAACAAAAAATCAGCAGGCCTCTTGGTGGCAAAAGGAGAACGTACTACTCGTTTTCAAAACCTTTTTATGTGTCACAATGTTTTACTTTCATTCTTGTTTGTGGGGTCATGAGATCATAATAGTCATCGCTTTACCAGAAACTCAAAAACTGCAGATTTATACGTGGAGTTTTTGTTGGGTTTCTGAGATGTCAAAGGCAGCCATGCACTTGCCTGTCTCCTGATGTTTTTGACAGCAGGCCCACAAGTCAAGCCCTTGGCTAGTCAGGACAGTTAATACACTTTAGTGATTTGCAAGCAACCTGTTTGACACTGACACCAGAGCTCAGGTCACTTACACAGCTTTGTTCATGTTGATTTTTGGTTTTATTCCAGGCTTACCGCAAACTGGCCAAAGAATACCATCCCGACAAGAATCCTGATGCCGGAGACAAGGTATGATGCACCAAAACATATCACGTTAGCAGCAGCAGCAACACTAGGACTAGCAACAGTGCCAAAAGCAGTAGCTCAACAATTGGGCACAAGAAATGATGCCAACTTCATTTGTCATGATCACACAGCCCCACTCTTTGAGGATCAGAGTACAGATTCTGAAATGGCTTTCCTCTAGAGAAAAGCAAATCCACTTTTGATGTTTACTGCCTTATGACTTGTACCTTTCTGATTTTCCAAGAACGTGACAGTACAAACTAGACTTTTCTTTTTTAAGGTGCTCTTTACTTTGTAAAAGGGCTCCTTGTTGTGATGCAATGAATGTCTTTGGATCTTACGCTGTGTCAAGCAGTCTGATTGTTCTTCGTTCATTTTTCAGTTTAAAGAGATAAGTTTTGCCTACGAGGTTCTGACAAACCCAGAGAAGAAGGAGCTTTATGATCGTTATGGAGAACAGGGGCTACGGGAGGGAGGAGGCGGAGGGCCCGGCATGGACGATATCTTCTCTCACATTTTTGGTGGAGGACTGTTTGGGTTCATGGGTGGACAAGGCAGAGGACGCAATGGAGGGAGGAGGAGAGGAGATGATATGGTGCACCCTCTGAAGTGAGTATCAAACATCGATGTGGTTCAGATGCTTCAATAAATGGCTGAAATATAATGTGTTAAATGTGTTACGCATTCTTACAACTGATTTGTCTCACAGAGTTTCTCTTGAAGACCTGTACAATGGCAAAACCACAAAACTGCAGCTCAGTAAGAATGTGCTCTGTGGCGCCTGTAATGGGTGAGTCTGCTTTTCATGTTTCAGCGTTGTGATTAAAAGCATATTGATTTGTAGTTTCAAAGCTGAGACTGATAGAATAGATAGAAGATAGAAATGCCTAATAACAGCGCTAAATACTTGACTGTTGACTTTCAGTCAAGGGGGAAAGGCAGGTGCAGTGCAGAAGTGTGTGGCCTGCAGAGGACGAGGCATGAGAATCATGATTAGACAACTGGCCCCAGGGATGGTTCAACAAATGCAGTCAGTCTGCACAGACTGCAACGGAGAAGGTAATATGTCCTTAAACACATGCATGCTGAAAGGCTAACGTACAATTTCAAACAAAACAGTGCACTGAAATCATGTGTGTGGTTGTGCAGGTGAGGTGATAAATGAGAAGGACCGCTGCAGAAAGTGTGAGGGTCATAAGGTGTGTAAGGAGACCAAGCTTCTGGAGGTGCATGTGGACAAAGGCATGAGACACGGACAGAAAATCACATTCTCTGGGGAAGCTGACCAAGCACCAGGCATTGAACCAGGAGATATCGTTCTGGTGCTACAAGAGAAAGAACATGAGGTATCTGAACACAGATGGCTCCTAATATTGAATGTGAAGCTGTTTGTTATCATGTTTTTGAGAAAAACGTTGTAATGAACTGAAGTAACAAACTTCAATCTAAAACAGGAATTCCGCCGTGACGGCAGTGACCTTCACATGGTCCAACGTATTGGCCTGGTTGAAGCTCTGTGTGGCTTCCAGATGACTGTCACACACCTGGATGGACGTCAACTGCTTGTCAAATACCCACCTGGCAAGGTCATCGAGCCAGGTAAGCAAGTCTGCACCACATTTATTTATTGACTCTCCTTAATGGCGTTCTAGCTTTTTTTTTCAATCTGCTCACCTTTTAAGCAGACAGGAGATTATCACATGGGAATTAATGTTTTACTGCAGCTATTAAAACGGCTATTTTTGGAACAGCAGGAGACAGTGAGCCTAAGTTTCCATGTAGAAGTCATTTTTCTAACTACCGTCACGTTGTTGTTATAAACATATATATTTTTCTGATGAATGCTAAAAAAACCTAAATGCTTGTCTGACTGTCAGACAATCAGAGTTGTCGCACAATCAAATCAAATCCAATTGCAGTAATTTTCATGCAAAAGATCAGTAAAAGTATCTAATGCAGACTTACTGTGCCATAATATACATTACACAGCTTGTAAATTGCAAGACCAAAGTGCATAACAGAACCATGCTGGATTGTAAAACTGTAATTACAGATTGATGTTGAGCAACAACAACAAAAATCTGTTATCAAAAGAGATGCCACTTCAATTAATGATAACACTACTTACTTATATTTGTGTGACTACAAACATCAGACTAGATAAGGTGACTGATGGCAGCTGGAGAACAGATTTGAGGGAGAGATCTTCACCTTACTCTCAACCAAATCAGTGCAGAGAAATAATGAAAGATCCATCTTAATAAAACCTGCATCTGCATGATTTTGTTCCCGTGTGTGTGGCAGGCTGCATTCGAATGGTGAAAGGAGAAGGAATGCCTCAGTACAGAAATCCATTTGAGAAGGGAGACCTTTACGTCAAGTTTGACGTCCAGTTCCCTGAAAACAACTGGATTAGCCCTGAAAAACTGAATGTGAGTTGCAGTCGATAAATATCCCGATTTGCACAATGTTAATCTGGACTGATTGAGTTGTCTTGATGCATTTTTCTTTCTTTCTTTCAGGAACTCGAGTGCTTGCTGCCTGCTCGCGCTGAAAATCCTGTTATCGCAGCAGATGCAGAGGAGGTTGACCTGACAGATTTTGACAGGAGTCAAGGTTCAGGAGGTGGAGCCAGGAGAGAGGCCTACAATGATAGTTCTGATGAGGAAGGGGGTCATCATGGCCCAGGGGTGCAGTGCGCACACCAATAGAAAGACTCATACATAGACCTGCACACACATAAAAGCATAAATACATAAACATTAAGCCCCATCGCAAACACCATTCAAGACTTGCTGCACACACACGCACACTTCTCTCGTTTCATGATCCCCGTGAAAAAGAGAAACACAAATACATATACACATAAATATCCACCCTCCTCAGTTCCATGGTGCCCATAAGTCAGAGAGATCCTGGACGTGTGATGACCATTTTGTGTTTATGGACAGTAGTGCTCATCAAAGACTCCAGCAAGAAGGTGGTCTCATTCTCAGAGGTTCACTGACTGAACTTGACTTGGACCTCCCTGTTTTCATCCTAAGCTTTTACCTTTCACTGTGGGAAACACAAGTCTAGTGTATAAAATGCAAATATTGTTGACTATCTTGTAAAAGGTGTAGTTTAGTCAGTCACACACAAGCGCATGCTGCTTCTTGCTGAAGATCTTGGCCGTGTAGATGCAGGGTCCAGACACTACAGAGAAATCTGACACCACACCTGTTTAAATTTCAGTATGTTCACTGCTATTGAAGTGCCCTGCTGCCGTAAGAGTTAACCTGAGTACATCCCCCAAAAGTGCGTCCTCTCCACAGAGAACCACACGTTTAAGCCGCCTCGTCCTCTAAGGTGACCTGTCATATTTTGAAGATGGGATTTGCTGGTTCTGTTCAGTTCGTAGCTGTCATGCTTATACAATATTAAAGCCCTGAGTATAGCACCTGCCAGTCAGGCATTACGTTTTTTTGTTTTTTTTTAGTCTGGATTTTGAGCTTTCTTGTCTTTGTGTGAATGTTAGTGTGTTTGAGACCACAGAACTTGAAGTTGTGTACTCTTAATTTGAGCTGAGGACACACTTGTGTACTTTGTATGTGTGTATTGCAGTGGCTCAGTGTGTGGGAGCTGCTGTGGAATGTTCTGGCTTCTTAGGGGTGGTAGGTATTCCTGCTTTGTGTCGGACTGCAGTGCGAGTGGACACATTCTAAAGTTAGCTAAGGAGGAAAAAACTGAATGTTTATTTGCTGAGAATATCCCCCATGTCGACAGTTACTTTCCCTCTGCTCACCAGGACTGAGAGGTCCACTTCTCCTGCAGAAAAACCACTGGGCCCGCACCAAACCCTCTGTATTATACATATCCCCCCATCGTAGAGTTGTTAGCCAAACCTATGTCCCTTGACATGAAACGATACTCCCATTCCCACATACCTGTAAATAAATACAGTTCCAGTCCATAGGTGCGTTTAAAGTCTACAGCAGTGCCCTTCTGTAGTCACAACCTTTTCTTTCACTAGTGAATTATGGCCAATAGAGCCAACATATAGATGTTTTGATCACATGAAGGAAAGTTATTGGGACCACTGTAGACCGTTAACATGCACCTTTGGGACTCATTGTGTATGTAATTTAGGCCACCGGGGATAATGTGTACACAGTTAAAGGGGGTCATTGATAAATTACATTATTGTTGATGCTTATGGTTGTCAAGAAGATAATTAAACTGTATAATAAACAACTACAAGTTTGTTGAGATCTGTTTTGTTTCATATTCGTAGCCTATATTCTGCACTTTCTTAATGTACACCAACAGTATATGACCACAAAAAATGGAATAACACGTATATAAAAGTTGCATACTTACACTTAAAGGCTATTATTTGAAAATTGGTGGGTCGGATTGTAAATACATAGAAAACCATACATTTGTTGCAGTATGTAGTTGGATGTTGACAGTTATGATGAACACAGGACTAAGTTCAGATGAGCAGCTGTTTTCTCAGTCTGCTCCATCCTCTGTTTCTCTGCTGTGCAGGGCAACTGGACCGAGGAGTTCCTTGAATCCTGCAGTATTCCTAAAGGATGTAAAGTAATGTAGAGGTAAAGCCTGTCGACATCAATTTGGTGTTTGCGATCTGTGTTTGAAGGAGTGACATTCACCTGTCTCTTTTGGACTGCATGATGTAGGAGCGCTCTCTTCTGAGCTGCTCCAGTCGCTCTCTGACAACCGTCTTCTGCTGGTTCTTGTCTTCCTAGAAAACAACACCCAAGGCCAGATGGTGATATTACCAAACATATGAGATGATATTACCCAGAGTCCCTCAAACGTGTAGCTACCAGTGGTAGATCTTGGGTGACATGTCTTAGCCTGTCGGTGTGTTTCAGGCCGAGCAGGTCTTCCTCTGCTTTTCTGTTCTGGATGATCGACAGACGCTCCTGAACCTGAAAAAATAAAAACTGTCAGAGGACCTCTGCTTCTTATTTACAGTGTTCAGAAATCGTTCCCTGCGTCTCTGTCCACCTTTCTCTCACCCTCAGCAGCTGTCTCTCTCTGTCTCTCTGCTGCTTCTGTTCAACCTTTCTTTGCATGTCCACCAGATTACGCATTGTCCTCTCTCTCTCCATCGCCGACACTGGTTCTGCCACTCGCTCCCTGTCCGTCAGAGCTGGTTCTCTCGTTTCCTTCCCACAGTCTACCTGTAACAGTGGAAAAAGACTGTTTAATGTTTAAGATCAGTGAATAATGTTGCACTAATCTTGGTCTTAACAACAGTCTTACTGTTGCATCTGGAGAATATTTCTGGTCTTGGTGGTGATCGGGTTCAGGCCCTTTCAGGTCCCACATCTCAGACTCTGTTGCGGTGAGAAACATTCCCACCTCAGTCACAGCATTAGTTGTGTTATCGGACTCTCCAGAGCAGAGGTCATCAGCGTGTGGGTCACTTTCAGAGGAATCAGCCAAGAGATGTGGCTGCGTTTCCTGCAGACTCTCTGCGACCAAAGCATGTGTTCGTAGGTCACATTCAGAGTCTGCTTGGTCAGCTGTTGGCCTCTTGTTCAAGGTTAACTAATGAGAACAGAAAAGGTGAAGAAATCAGATGTATGACATGGCGACAGTTTGTATTGTGATCTGCTGTACATTCATTTACCTGTTGTACCGTGCAGCGTTGCTCGTCTCCAGCCTGTGAATCATGTTGACCTGGAGGGCCAGACTGTAACAGAGAGGCTTTAAGCTCTTCTCTCTCTCCAACTGTCTCCTGACATTGTGCAGGCTGGAAATGGATCTTCAAACTGCTCTCATCCTCCTGACTGTGTCCTGAGCTCCCATCTGAAGCCTCTGCCTCATAGTCCGTATCATCCTCTGGAGGTTTGCTCCAAGCCAGGGTGATCAGAGAGCCTTGTTTCTCGTAGCTCTGGGGGCTCGTTGTTGCGTCGCCTTCTTCTTCCTCCTGGGCTCCTCCCTCTGCGGCGAGGCCTTCGTGAGCGTTACCTCGTGCATCTGACACACACAATATCTCCAAGTAGGGCAGGTCCTCCATGATCGCACCACAACCTGGAGGAGTGCAAAGCATGTTATAGCTGCAGCTATGGGAGAATGTTATCTGTTTCTGAGTATGTTTGCAATACCTGAACAGACATCCTGCTTGTCAGTCCCATCTGCATTTTGGACTTCACTGGGTTCTCTGCTGGCCCTTACAATTGAATCATTGGTCTGAGCTTCAGCTGATCCACTACTGGCGACCTCGACTTGTTTGGTGCAACAGGGCTGAGCTATGATTTGCTCATTGTTGCTGTTTTCAATCAAGTTTGGAGAATGAATTAGCGTAGTCAGAGGATCATCTGAGGTCAGGAGGTGCATGAGGCGGGTGAAGCGCTGCGCTTGGATTTCAGATTCATATCTTTCTCGCAGAGCTTGGACATGCCCTGTATTCTAGAAAACACACAACAAGAACTATTATTACTTTTAAATTGTTGTATTTATATGTACGCCTGCTCACAATTGGATCTCTTGACTGACCTTGTCCCTCAGTGCTTGCAGTAAAGCAGAAGCTTGGAAATCCTGAAACTCTGTTAAATGGATCAGCAGGAGCGTCGCACAATCTTCTAGCTGAAGTCGGGACTGTTCTCCTTGGACCTGCACTTCAGGCTGGAGTTGTGGCCGAGGGTTCATCTGCTCTAAGGGGGTCTGAGTACCACTGTGCATCTGCAGTTGAGCGTGGATCTCCTTTAGCCTTTTTATGCAGCCATTTCTCAAAGCAGACTCCATGTGACTGTCTGTGCAAGAAACAGGAGGCAAGATGCTGGAATATACAAATGAAAGGAATACAAAAGAAACCCAATTCTGACAAATGCTGCAGGGAAAAAAGGAAAGAAAATAATGATTTACCTTGTTTTGGAGGCTCTGTGCTACCTGGCCCCTGCAAATCCTCTTGGGAGATCCTGTGTACCAACCTGACCAGGTGCTTCCTCTCCTGCTCCTGAGTCAGCACCAGCAGCTGCAGCACTGCCTGCTGGGACTGGACCAAAGTTTACGTTGATAAAAAATACTGTACTGCTCTCTTTTTAAAAAGCTTAACCCACAAAATAGTTGAGTTAAAGTAATAGAGTAATTTTAGGGTAATGTTATGATATGGTGCAGTGCCTGTACCCCACAATCAGCGGCCTACAATCAGATTTACATTACCTGCTGTTCTGTTGTGAAATCTTCCTCTTCACCATGTAGCCACAAGGCGACCTGCTCTGCTCTGCATGGACTGTTCACCTGAGGCCTGAACAGACAGATGAGGGATGGACAGCCTGCAATTGAAACTGTGTGCGCAAAGGCCATAAAGCCAGACCTGGTGACAGTGAATGAATGTTGGTAATTAGCTCACCATGAGTCCCAGGACTGCCGGGCAGCCAGAAGAGCGCTGTAGGACATTTTTTCTCTCTGAGCTCTAAGAGTTGCCAACCTGATGTGCAGACACAGCAGTCGCAGGCTCTCCTCGTGCAGCCTATAAAGCAGAAGATTAATGGATCACGCTCTCATGGTTAGAGACACGTAAAAGACCACGTGTCCGTAATCTAGAACAAATTTGTGTCGTCTATACAGCCGTGTGCATTCACCTCTCGCCCAGGACTGTCAGCGCGTCCCGTTCTTGTTGACGAAATGTGTGTACATCAGTCAGGAGGGAAACGGCAGACCACGATTGTATCTTGGATTCAGCACAGCTTGAAGAAGATGCACCCAGATCGGCCCTGCAGAAGTTTTACACAAGCTGTTTTCCCCCTGATGCATCAAGTTCTAAGTTGTTTTTAATGTTTACTTAAATTTTAATCAAGAATGCTGTCTGTGATTTTATACACAACTGAAGGTGAATTTGCAAGTTGGAATAATGCTTGACTTTTCCTTCTGACTACTTAGTTTAGAAACCAAGGAGTGTTGCTGTATCGTTGAAAGGTTGTTGTTTGGCTTTTCACTTGCAGTAGTCGTATATAAATCTTCACAACCTCTTTAAACATTCATTCTACTCCTTACAACATCCACTCTTTCCTGTCAATGAAGAAAAAAAAAATCAAGAATATATAAATGTGAAAGTATTCATTTCAAAGGTTTGGCTCTCAGACTTGTTATGATGTTGCAAAACAATGTCATGAATCATCATTTTCCCCTTCTAGGTAAGATAATCCAGACACCTCTTCACTCTCTCTGGTATGCTGCTTTAGAGTTTTAAAGTATTTGTCTGTTTTTTATGTCCCAGGCTGTGATCTTTCTCCTGATTGCCAACCTGTGACCCAGGTAACTTGTGCTGAGATGATTGGATATATAGAATACATGTTGCATGAACATGAACATGGGATTGTATTCGTACTCACTGAGATAAAACATGTTAGGAATCCACTAGTAGACATTTTTTTTAGCCACGTTTTTTCTTTGTGGTTTTAATATACTCAATAGAAACTTGCCAGCAGAGCTTAAAACATTTTTTTTTTTTTTAGTATTTATGCAGATCATTAACAGAAGGAGGCCCATATGGCTACTCAGGTCAGGGGTCCACCATGACTAATGGACCACTCTCACCACTGCGGGTTTGGTTCAGTTTTTTTTTCTCTGTCTTGCACTAAGTAAATTAATTTTTGTCATGGGTTTATGTATGGTCGCATGAATGTGAAAACTGCTTTGAACAAGAGCATAGATCTCCTTTTCCCTTTTGTTTTGGTCTGGTGGTGTACTGTAAAGACCCTAATTCTTCATATTTAATCATCCCTTTATTATATTGTAATAATTGGTGTGTACATATACGTAAATTGTTCAAATAGAACTGCCAGTTTTAGAAATTACACCCCTATCGTTCTTGTTATTTTTCACGTTTTGTTTCTAATACATTCATGGCTGTAATGGGACTTTAAATGTACAAACTCGGTGCGTGTGAGTTACTTGTATATCCTGAACGCTCCCGGCAGTTCAGCCAAACGGAGCAGGTCAACTGACTCCAAAGCTTCCTCTGCAAGATCCTCCAGCTCCTCCACTTCCTTGTCTTGTTGCCATGGCAGCAGCATCTCCCAGACACTTTCAGCTGTGGAGTCGCCAAAAAAGGAAATGAAACATGAAAATGAAACATCTGGATCAGGCTCTATAATGCTGAGCAAGCTGTACGTAAAGTTATGACATTGTTCTGTGCTATATGGCGATGACAGGTCAGAGTGACATTTCCTTACTGTGGTGCTCCTGAAGCATTTCTGTACACAGCAAGTACATCACCATGTCGTACT